CAACCAGATGTGTCCGCATGTGTAGCTAGCAATAGTTGAATCGGTCGATAATGCGATAATTGCAACTGACGAGGGAACCGCCCGAAGTGATTAACCACTTTTTCAGTGGGACCTAGGGGGTTATAGGTTATCAACTATGCTGATTCCGAATATGAGGATGAAATTTGCCCATAAGACTCTAGAGACCCGGTTTCTGGAAAGCCAGTTTTTCAAAAATTCCAAAAAGTAACCAAAATCTTTCTTAATGAAGCACGATTGTAGCCCGCAGATTTCTGATTAAAATGAGACCCTCTCCCAGCTCTACACGATCTTTATTCGCAAAGTTATAGAATTTACAAGAAAAGCCCTAAATGTTCATTGTCAGCTGAAAGCTACAGAAATAAAAAGCAATTAATTTAGGGCTTTTCTTGTAAATTCTATAACTTTGTGAATTAAGGTCGTGTAGAGCTGGGGGAGGGTCTCATTTTAATCAAAAATCTGCGGGCTACAATCGTGCTTCATTAAGAAACATTTTTGGTTACTTTTTAGAGTTTCTGAAAAACTGCTTTTCCAGAAACCGGGTCTCTAGAGTCTTATGGGCAAATTTCATCCTCATATTCGGAATCAGCATAATCGATAACCTATAATCCTCTAGGTTTCACTGAAAAAGCGGTTAATCACTTCGGGCGGTTCTGTCCTTTCACATTAATTAAAAAATAGAATGCCTCACTAGAACTTTTCAAAAGATTTTATATATTTATACTGAAAACATAACTCGAACATATCCGTCACTTATAGGGGCGGATGCTTTTTTATTCTCTACAACACACTAAAAAATAATGTGTCGCATGTGTTGCAAATTGCGACATATTCTGCGACACCAGGAGCCGCTTGCGACACATTTTTTCCATTGAGGCTGCGCCACATTCCGCTGGGTATTTCTACCATAGGGAAAACAGTAGAAATTAAGTATTTTCGATCTCTTATTCGATTTTAAGAATATTTTTAGATCATTTTGGGATGCTCTGCGTAATGTAAATAAGCTCAATCCGCCGGTAATATTCACAGACCTTCAAAGTGTTTAGTTTCCGATTAATGGCGTAGTCAAGGCCTGTGATTGGTTCTTTTTCATTAGAGAAAAAATGTTTAACGTAGAAAATAGTTTAAAAAGGCCAAGAGAGGGATCTTTATCCACTAAAAACACTAATTCGAAATTGAAAACACTTAAAAAGTTCGAAAATTTTCTTATCTTTTACGTATTAGCGCCACCTATAGCACATCAAAATTGAAAAGAAGCCGAGAAAAATACCAATGAAGACTGCTGAAAATAGTAAAACATAAAATTTAGCAATTTTTTGAAGAGAGTAGATCCTGAAATAACCTCAAGAACTGTGTCTGAAAGTTCTTAGTAACGGCAACACAATTATGCGACACAATTTTCTCACAGGAGCTGCGACACAATATTTTTTACTGTGAAAAGAAAAGGCAAAAAGTTTCGTTCTTTCCTTTTTTTGCTGCTTAACATTACTTTATTCCAGTTCACTCTCTTAAAGTAGTGTTGTAAAATAACTATTCAAAAAAAATTAAAAAATTGAGCTGAACCTCTTCCGGTACTAGAGAATTTCATGGCCTACAACATAGGCTATTTTGCATCTTTTTACATCAACATATGATACTTTAAAAAATACATTTTTTCTCGAAATTATCTTAAATGTTGAAAGTAAGTAAATGTTTTCTCAGTCCGTTAATGATAGTAAGCCGAAGCGTCACGATACACATTTCGAGATGTGCTCTACAAACTGGAAAAGTTCAAAGGATAAATTCAGTAATTTAAAATTTAGTTTAATTTTGGGCTGGGCTCGTATATCAATCTAGGTCTTGAATCAAGTTTCGCACGAAGTAAGCATTATGCAGCAAAAACCTGAATGCAGAAGTTGTTCAGGATCAAATGCTCTGAAATAAGAACGAGCGAGTTTTTGAAATTCTTTAAACTCGATATTTAAATACGAAAGCACATTTAAAAATTTAAAAATTTCTTAAATTAAAATTCAAAAATCGAGTTCAAAGAATTTCAAAAGCTCCGTCGCTCATAATCCAGAGAATTTGATTCTGAACAACTTTTACATTTGGACTTATGGTGGAAAAGGCTTCATTCGTGCGAAACTGGGTTCATGGCTTTTTCGGAATACTTCTGGCCCCCGAATCCCATTGGAGAAGTGAAAGTTGGATTTCTTCTACAAAATTGGTCCAGTAACGATAAAAATATTTTTATATATACAGCTTTTCTATCAACTGACCTCAAATCATATCTTGAAGAATGGAAATTTTATTAAATGGATAGCTGCTATCTTATAGAAATAAACGCAAAACATATTTCGTGGTGAATAGTACTCATTCCGACTCACATTCTGCAGTAGACTCTAAATCTGTTTATCAAGAAAGACAAGTTTTATTTTTCATTCTGTAACGAATGCCGTTGAAATTGAACAGTAAGAAAATTCAACATATTAAGGAAAAACAGCAAAAAGTCTTTGAAACCAGCTCTTAATATCAGCAGAATTTTTACCAGGAGGAAGCTCTAAAAATAGAGCGATCTAGTCAGATCAGGAGATTCGTCTACCTGGTCACTCATTAGAATACGGGTCACTTTTGCCTCGATGAACAGATTGCCGAGAAAATTTAGGTCTATGCATAAAATTAAATCAATATGCCGGCAGCATAAAGTTTATAATTTGATATTAACTTTTCTCTGATGTCGACACAGCCTATACGTTTTTTTTGCCTTATTCTTATGACGCATAGCAACGCTCCTATTGGCGCCATTAAGCGCCAATGGTTACGCTAAATGCTCTAGCGTACGTTAAAGAGTAAAATATAACGAAACTTGCGATTTCTGAAGTTGGAAATAATAAAAAAATTAAACTCCGGATAATTTTTTTCTTCCGCTTTCTACGCTAATTGAAAATAACTGCGCCCGCAGCGTAGAAACAGTGAAGACATCAAAGATAATGAGTCATTTTTTCTTTCTAGAACGGCTAATTAAAAATATGCGCGTACCTCGGAGAATTCAAACCTTGCTACAAGGAAGTTAGGCATAATTTCCTTCGCATTTTGAAGAATTTTGGATCCTCTTTTTAGTCCTGATTACACCATGTTTTACTCGGACTTTTCTTCGAGAACATGACGTAATCAAACTTCGTCACAGAGAGATCTCTATGTAGAGCAAAGAGTTATTTCAGTGGAAATCGTGGCTCAAAAATGAAAAGTTTTGTTCTGCCATTAAACTCACTAAATAATAAAAAACTGTCAAAGGACGGGTGCCATATTTGAATATCTTACCTGAGCTGACGAGCCGCTGTAGAGAAACGAACTATATAGCCGTCATCTCCATGGTCTAAAACCCTTGTACATTTAATAGGAATGCCACCTTTATCCATAAATTTTTGACCGTTGCGATCATATTGTTTGTCTTCACGAGACTCATTATTGCTTTTTTTGGCTCTCTTTCGAGCAATACTGATTTTTCCCAATAACTGTATCAGAATTGTAAAATTTAAGGAAACTATCGCATCTAATAAGCTGCAAATGCCAAAACTGGAATAAATAGATGACAGGAAACTAGAATAACTCTAGACTGGAAACGGCGCTAACTGCTCTCATTAAAAGTCTCATTAATTAAGTATGGCGCGAAACGGCTAAAAAGAGAGAATTCGTTTACTTATGAGAGACGGCGCTCTTTTCTTTCGTTGTTATATCCCTTATTTAGTGTTAGAACTGAAGAGTTCTAAAAATAATAATGAATTAAAATAAAAGCAGCCTAGACCCAAAAACAATGGAAAAAAAGAACGACGTGGACTAGGATTGAACCTGTGACCGCTCGTTCTAGACGTAAATGCCTGTAGCAAATAGGCCACACACGTCACCACTGAAAAGATTTTTTTTTTATAATGATAAAATATCTTTTATAGAATGAGCAGTCCAGCTTTCGGCATATTTCACTTTTGGACTCGTTTAATTAGAGTTTCTCGTACCCTATTAATAAATTATACTGTCTTGCGCAGAATTTTGTGCTCATTCAGAATTTTACACTTTTAGCCAGCGGAAACATACACTTTTAGATATATCCTAAATTTAAAAATTTAAAATTTAATTTTTGAATGTGTAAAAGACTTTGAAACTTTAGTTCCAATTTCATTCGACAGCTTGCATGAAACTATACAAGAAAAATCTTTTTTCGTCCCTTCAACCGCTTTTTCAACTTCACATCAGCAAAACGCATCTCCCGCCAAAGAAAGTTTAGATCTCAAAATTAAGATTCAAGAAAATAACAATATTTTTCTTATTTTTCAGTAACTAAGTGGCAGTCGATTTCGTCATGTTTTACTCGGACTTTTCTTCGAGAACATGATCTAATCAACTTTTTGAGTTTTCCTCGTTCATACGGACTCTCGCCATGCTGCTTCTACATACTCATTATGCATTAAACATTTCACCCTTTTGCACCATATTCCTGAAGAAAAAACCGGGTAAAACATCGTGCAATAACTAGATAGCTCAGTTCTTCACAGAGTTATTACTTTAATTTATTTTATTCACTAAAAGCAAGAGTCATCAAAGGTCCGCGACCTAGAATAACAATGACTCCAGTCAACATCACAAACAAAGTCACAAAAATAAAGATAGAATAAGAGGTATATAGAATAGTTTCGAACTTGACAAGCTAACACACCTTGTAGAGTGAATAATTTTCTACAAACTGGTATACTTGTTCAATATTTACCAGCTCGTCTTCGCCCTTTCAGACACACTTTTCAGATGGCCCAAAAATCGATTTTTGGGGCTGTTTGTACAACAGCTGTATTTTTATAACGAATCAACGTTCAGAGCCGAGACATTTTTTATTTTGCAGAGAAATATTTAATCTACTTAATCATCTAGCTGCCATTTTAGATTAGTTTGTAGCTTTATTGCAATAACTTTTCGAAAAAGAGCAAAAAATGGAAGTCGTTAGCTGGACAAATATGAAACTTTTTGTACATTTTCATCCGACATTCCATGAAGTTTGTTCCAGTCAATTTGTAACAACGGAATGGTTTCTATACATATCATCTAATCAAAGTAATCTTCAGTTTGATTCTGTTCAATATCTGACACGGTACAGATTCAAATTTAGTGCAGTTGGACCATTGCAATTTCAAGCACTTGCTAGTTTTTGTAAGTTGAGCAAAGAAACAATAAATGATGCATTAATTCAATTTAATTTATCTACGTTGGTTACTGCCAAAGTATTATCTCGTGAATTATTTGAATTGCAAACAACAAGTATAATTTATTTATTTAAATTAATAACATCAGACTCATTTAATCTTAGATGGAAAATGATTCGTTCTACTACTCAACGAAATCAAATTATAACCGGTCTAAATACAAATTATTATCCTCGCTCTGTTATATACGATTCATTATTGGAAAACTATACAATAACTAAAACTCAGTCTATCTATCCGAATACAGTAACGTGGTGTGGATGTTCGGCTTCAACACAATGTGGTGGCTATACATTTTTAGACGTTATATCTGACGTCTATGTCACTGAACTACCAACTTGGCATTGTGGATGTTTAACACTTGACGGTTTATTACGATCAACACTCAATTGCTTTTATAATAATTCAGAATGTTCTGAAAAAATAATTAGATATATGAGAAACAGTACATCATATCCGATGACGAATATTACTGGTCTTTATTTAACATCTAATAGTAGTACAAATGAAAAATGAAACTATTGAGAATATTCTTCAAAGATTAATGATCAATCAATGGAACAATGAGAGTAGTTATGATGATTATTATGGTCAATGTGCATCAAGCAACTGCAAATATTCGATAGTTGAAAGAAAAAAATGCAATTTATATTATAACCATGATTCTCAGTCTCATTAGTCGTTTAACCGCGACACTACGAATTATTACACCAAACACAATTGCTTTAGTACGCAAAACAATCAACAGAACAACAAGATCAAAGGTTTAACATGCATTCTATAGCCATTTCTCAAAATTAAATTTCCAAGACTCAAATTTTAAGTAACTTATTTTTGGTTCTAGTGCGATTAATAAGGTCACATCGTATATATTTATTTTTAAAATGGTTGAAAGAGAACAGTATAAAGTTAAATTTATTCAAAAGTGCTTCAAGTGCAGACAATGATGAAAGTTTTCAACATGAACGACGGCCAACACGATTATTTTTAATATTATTTTCTGTTACATTAGTTACTCTTATCTTTTATACGGCCTTGCCACATCAGTCATCTATAATCTATGTTCAAATGTCTTCTCTCAAGCAATATGTACAATTATATGCTGCATACGGTGATCAACTAAATTGTCCTTGTTCAGAACTATTAATAAAATACGAAAAATTTTTAGCTTTACAACCAACATTTCATCAACGCATTCATTATTGCACATTTTTAATGAGTAAGACGTCATGGTTCACTAATCACTTATTGAGAAAAGACGCTGGAAGCTAAATGGAATATAAAATAGTCTCATATAAAGCTGTAAAAGCCTCAGTTCATTTTCTTTCCCGTTCAGTCTACATGATATACGAAAGATGTTAATTTAGTACCTAGACGCTGAATACCTAAATAGTTTGTACTGGTGTATATCTAAGCTCGTGTGTGCTATTTATTGAGAAGCACCTGATTTTCGCTAGATTCACCTTTCAGTAGTATCAAGAAGAATGGTACATCAAAACTGATGTATGTAATGCACTTAAGGACCGTTTACAAGCTCGAAAACAAGCTTTTCTTCGAATGACTATTTTGTTTTCATTTGAATGTACGATAAGTTGTATTTCAAAATAAATTCTTTGTTCGATCTGAATTGTATTTGATTGCTAGATGTACGTAGAATTTTGTACATAATGGTACGTTGTAAACTACTGGATGGTACTATTGCACCGGATCAACACAGTGATGGTTATGGGCAAAATTGGGCTTAGAGTGCCGGTTGTACGTAGGTCGTTGGCAATAATTACCTTCGCTTCTTGTTTTCTCGTTTCTGTGGGTCTATACTCTCTGCTTAAACACAAGTGGCATGATTATCTTCATTTTGTTCACGTTCCTAGTCACCCGCTGACCAAAAGTCGATTCAAATCTAATGAGATTGCTGTCATCAAATGTAATGAGATTGCTGTCATCAAATTTAATGTATCAGCACACGCTGTGTGCAAATCACAGCTGTCCGAGCCGCTAGTATGCAGTACTCTTAGTCAAGGAGGAATCTACGTATCTCACAGGCGCGATCAAGTACAGTGGGATATTTATGCATCAGACAATTGGGGCAACACATTATCCCCTTATTGGCAGGCTCGAGGCGCAGCTTTTCTGTTGGGAAGTTCATTTGCATCGGACCAATGGAATGCTAATTCTTGGATGAGTTTCCTTCCCGTTTCCACTGCACCTTTGTCTTCGGGCTCATGTGTCAAGGCTTATCCTGAACTATTCCGTCGCATGTGTAAGGATCCTGGACCCGACTGCAACATGGTATATGCACATAAATGTGTTGGAGCATGGAATCATATTCGAGATCAGATACGGCAGAATACTAGATCGGCAATGGAACATTGGGCAGTAGTTAACAATCAAAGCTTACCCGTTTTCAATACTTCTGAGATGGTGGTATACGACCGTTGTTCAAGGGACACCATTCTTGATCATAATGAGCATGGGCCCCTGGCTTACAGTGCGTTTCGGTGCGTCCCAAAAGCAGTGACAATATTATATCAGGTGTATGCTAAGGCGCGCACCACCTCCTTATGCGACGCTCTACGGCGAGCGCAAATAGCATATCTAAGCCGCGTTCGCCCTGATATAGTTGTGATTCCTTCACCAGGTAATCTGTGGCAAGACTTTGCTAAACTCGTCTATGCCCCCTATGTGTTGGTTATTTCTGCTGGATCATCGTTTGCACTGTGGTCCACTTTGGCGAACGTTGGCCAAGTATGGATGCCACCACTATACGGTGGAATGACACCAGATGTCGGAATCAACTTTCGCTGGATCAGCACGCCAATCTTATACCCGAATATTGGGCGGAAATTGAACTTAAAAAGTCCTGGAAATATAAAGGATGGTGAAAAGATTATAGAGTGGCTGAACAACAGATGATTGTGACGATGATGAATAGTACGGTAAGCATTACTTTATTGTTTTGTTCATTTGTTACAGTGTTATATTTACTAACCGGGCAACTAATGAACAGGAAGTACTCTTAATGGATCTCAGATTTGCAGCGATTTTTTCGTTTCTATTCTAATAAAGTTGTCTAAGTTTAAATAAACCCACGCTTTTCTCTCATTACGAAAACGTTCTTCATCATGTAATATTACGAAGAGAAAGTTAAGAAAAGCTTTGAGCGATTCACTTGCTTGAATCATTCTGTCTAAAACTCATCCCCAGCACCTGTTGTTTTTATGTGTATTTAATGACATTTAAAGGTGGAATGAAAACGAGCGAGAATTCGAGAACTATCCCATATATTACGACAAATAATTGTTTCCCACTAAAACTCAAAGTGTTTGCATCTTACTGACGTATCAAGATATATACGATAATGGTATGCCGCTATTTCTTAGTGTAACCTCTCCATCGTATTTTCGAATCATTTTTTCCTTCCGTGAATCTAACTTTGTGCTTACATATTAGAATTTTGAGGAAGCTAAATGATAATAAAGGTCTAACTGTGTAAAGATGTCTTTGAAATTAGCAGCCGCTTTTTAATATTTAGTCCCACATATTTTTTAGACAATGTGAACAATAAATGTCAATAATATTAAAATAGCTCACTTGGGCACAAGATGTTAACATGGAAAAATTATATAGTCAACAAGACTAATCACAAAACTGAAAATATTTGCAAAAAAGAATGCTGGCCTGTTAACGGACACTATGCTAAAAGTGGATACAACTAATTTTGTATCTAAACCAGATTATGGATCAACAATATGGTCTTGTAGACGGTCTAAATTATTAAAAAGATCTTTACGTAAACTAGAAAAAGGAATTTTAACATTAGCTGCTGAGCAGATAAGACATGTTCATTAAGAGCCATTATCCGGTAGACTCAGATAGACAGTAATTGTTGATGTCACACTTTTAAATGTTATTCATATCAGTTGTAGGTCTATATGAAACTAGATAATCATTTAAATAGCGTCACTCAAAACTATATAGAGGGTGCAAGGGATGGCACCACAAATCGATCATTCTCATTACGTTTAAAATTAAGTTTTTTTCACCTATGCAAACCAGCTTTAAAAACTATCTTTTAATATGAATTTATACGACAGAACACGGGCTATCTTTTCGCCCGCGGCAAAATGTTTATGGCTTAAGCTTTATTTCACAATGTAGATCACACTCGGATATATTTAGACAGCAGATTCTGGTTTCTGGTCAATTCTATTTCCTAGAATATTTCTCAAAAACCGATTTTTAAGAAATTCCCAAACCGTAAAGACATCCCATGAACACTTTTTCGCCCTCTCGAAGTTGTAACCAGTAAACTTCTAAGTAAAAGGAGACGTTTTTCAGCTTTGTACGTGT